AGAAGTTGTCACAGTTTATACTTTGTCAGGGTAATTTTTGTCCCTCTATTATCTAAAACTGAAAGAATGTAAAGCCCAAAGCTACAGACATATTCATCGCTAGAGCCTGACGAGAACATGATCTCATTTTCAGACGTTTAAGAAAAGTGAAATGTTCTGTTTATCATCTATTTACTGGATAAACTTGGGCGACTTGTTTTAAAAGTGAACATGGTGTTAGGCCATTAAATATTTGTTGTGTGATGTAATCTATACGGATTCTTAACCTTCTATCCATGAAATCTCAACACATATTTGACAAAAAGGGGCATAGCCTCATTAATTTTTTTTATGACTGAGAGAATATCCTCATTGTAAAAAAGTTGCTTTGGGTCTGACCAAAAAATTGTTGATGATACCACTACTCATAAATCGTAGGTTGAATTATAACAAGAACAAAACTAATATTATTATATATTAGATTATTTTCCCCCTAATTTTGTGTCAGCAATTATTATACCAATAGAAATTTCCCAGAATCTGCATTTTTGTCTCAATAGCTGATACTTAGTCGTGTAGTCGTGTTCATCTTTATAGAATATTATGTTACCTGTAGGCTTCAGATTCAACACACAAGGGCTACTTTCAAATAATATTATGACAAACATTGACAAGTTAATTATTACAATATGGCTTACAATATATGCATTTGGATAGCGACACCGACAATGTTCCGCCGACCCCAATAGAAGTCACATGATAAAAGGAAAGAACGACATTTTGCCCGCAAGGGATATGTGGCGATTTGCCCTCAAAAAGATTACCGCTGTTGTCGCATTTCAGTTTTAGGAATTGTTTAAAAAAGAATAAATTCACCTTATAAAATTAGTCACTGAAGTGATTTACAGAGCAAAAATCACGTTTTGTGAGGAAAAAGTTAACCCTGGAATGTATTTCACCTTTTTATATATATACAATGATATTGTTTTTTGGTCCAAATCTTGAACATAGTATTTTGCTGCATTTTGTCATAAAACTGATCACGTGTTTATAAAGTCTATATGTGAGGCAGCGTGGTGGAATCAGGCTCTCGTTAAAATAATCATAGTGAAGAAACATGCATTTTTCCGGAGGTTTGTGAATTTTTATCAAATTTTTGTTTTTTGGCTCAACACATTTTATGCCCATTAAAGAACTCATTTCTGTGTGGATTTTTGTGAAAAGCGTTGATTAAAGCCACAAAAAAGTAAATTTTCATCGTGTTTGCTTTACCATGAAGGCATCTTTCTTTCTGACGATAATGAAGTCAATTTGGTGCCTGATCTTTGATGGCATCAAGAAACCTTGTGTCAGTCCTTGCCATTGTAGAAGGTGTTAGTGATGCAAAGGTTGTTATTTGTGCAGAATCTAAAAGTCTCTGGCCATTCTCGTTGATTTTTCCCAGCCCAAAAGGTCCAAGGCAGGTGAGCCATACTTTGTTTTCAGTACCAACTCTTGCATTGAAGTCGCCCATGAGAAACAGCTGGTCTGCTTTTGGGACGTTGTTGATTGCATCCTGAAGTTTCTCGTAAAACTGGTCTTTTTTCTCATTTTCTGTTGTTAGGGTTGGGGCGTAGGCGCTGATGAAGTGAGCCTCTCCAGTTTTGGTTTCCATTTCCATGATAGTGATACGTTCGGATATACTTTGGGGGGTGCTGATCCTGTTCAGCAATCTGTTGTGTACTGCAAAGCCCACACCATGGATTCTCCTCTCATCTTCCCCAGGACCCTTTCAGAAGAATGTGTAGTTTCTTTCCCTGATGGTACCAGAGTTAGCAAGTCTTGTCTTTTGCAGGGCAGTGATGTCTACATTGAGTCGTGTGAGCTCCCTGTCTATGATTGATGTCTTTCTGATGTCCTCTGTTTTCTCCATGTCGGTAGTGTCCAATCCGGTTGTCATTGTTCTAACATTTCAGGTCCCCAGTTTCCATGGGGTTAGTTTTACTCTTTTTTTGCCTGGTGCTGGATTTAACCTCTGCCTCTCGGTTTTTGTCCTAGCTCCATATACCCATAGAAGCAAACAGACGTGGCGGATCAGCACTTTACTGACTGGGGCCTGCCCAGTTTGAGACGGGCGGTAGCTGATCAATGTGACTGAATAGTCACTTCCATCGTCAAAGGTGACCCGTGGCAACATCCTGTTTCGCCAAATAAGGATGTCTTATAACCCGTCAACTGCCACCTCCCGTGTTTTTTTCCCTTGCTCGTCACAACAAGGATGAAGTGTCCTCTTCATAATATTATAAATGCTGTTGTAGCTGGGGTTGAGCTGTGGGTCTGATCCGCTGTATTTGCTCTTTTGCAGCGTCCTCCCAGAAATCTTGAAATCTTGACTAAGCTAAATGCCTGGGCCTGACTATACGGAGAACGTGCCTTGCCCAATTTGCACGAACCCCCACTCGACTTAGCTGATTTAGTCCAAAGGAGAGACGAGGTCAATACATTTGGAACCGGTAAAGTTGCAGGATCTGCCAGAAGATAGTTCGGATCCTTCCTCCCTGTCGACTGCCTTAAGGGCCCTCCCTCCGGGTTTGTTTAGGGTTTACTCCCTTAATCTTTCATACTCCCGTATGCACCTACAAGGCAGTAGGAACAGCTGCAGGTAGTACTTATATATATATATATATATATACTAGCTGGGCCCCCTTTCGGTGAAAGGAATGATCGGTGCATTGAAAGGAATGATCGGTGCATTGAAAGGAATGATCGGTGCATTAATATAAATATACTGAATATCATTGGTCTACTATGATATTTACACTCTAGTGGAATGAGGTAATACATCTTGAGAGAAAAGTGGCATCAAACGAAAAGATCACAGTCGAATTTAGCACCAAGAAAAAAAAGAAAACATGAGGCTAGATCTATACGGATCGCACACTTAAAATAGTGCTCAATATTGCGCGACAATGCCCGATCGTATCGAACTTGAAATAAACAAACCTGGCGGATTTTCTAAAATTACAGAGGCAGAAGCGTTGGCCTACAAAAGCGATCGGCGAAAGAAAGAAATTTAGCTTTGTGCAGCAAACCTGTTTCAAAACTGAAAAAACGAAGGGCGCCATGATCTAGAGAATATTTTTTTTAATCTCTTGGCGAAAACTGCGTGTCGCTTCGATGCAGCCATTAAAAAGCCTTTTGAATAGCAAAGTTTGGTCACCACAAATAGATAATAGATATATAAATATAAGCTGTGTTATAAACTAACAAGCGACAATTCAAACATACAAACGCATGTACATAAATATTCATGGACCTAATATACTACTTAATATTTAAAAGGAGAAATTATTTCTCAAAATGTCCTTTATAAAGGAACTATTTAATAGTTTTTATTTTCGTCATGTTGAGAGAAAAAAAGTCCAGCCTTTTCACAGCATTTTGCGAGGGCAGCACGGATCGTTGCGCGGTGGGTGGGTTCCCTTTTACAAAAGCCTGATTAAAGAGTAACGCCCCACCTTGACCTGCCCAGGGGTATAAAAGGCTCTTGCAACTCGACGCTGCAGATCAGGGCGCATCAGCGGGTCTAAAGACAGCAAGATCTTTCTCAAGTATTGCCAGAGGATTACCAATTGAGGTGAAGTTTGCTACCCAACCTTCTTGAAACATTTTAACCAAGTATTCTACTCTGATTAATTGATTGTAAATACTTTTTAATCTATATTTCCCCTCCATATTATTATACAGGGGTTACCGTACCAACGACTGAGCGTAAGAAGTGACTATATCCACTTTTCACAGTTTCGAAAAAAAAGTGAGTTTGAAATTTTGACGATTTTGAAATCTCTATAGCATAGTCGAAAAAAGAAACGTTAATATCTCGATAGCAAATAAAGCTGCGGCTTAGATATTTACAGAGGTAAAAGAGCGGCTAAGAATATCACTACCCATATCGATTATTCAATTTAGACTAAAAGTGGGTATAGACACTTCTAGCGCTCAACCATCAATACTTTTGGCGCGCGGGAGTTGCCATGATTCTGCACGTATGCAGCAGGTGGCCAGGTGAAGATAATCGGGGACACAAACGTATCCACGTGGGACTCGAACTTCTATTTCATTTTTGTGTTAGGACGAAGAACCAGGCGACGACGTGACTGCTATTTCATAGTTAGTTATTCATGGGTCTCAATAGTCCGCTATTTAGCGGATTGCCGCTACCGCCACTTCCTTCGCTAAACTCCGCTACCGCGACAGCGGACCAATCAGAAAGAGAGTCGTTGGGAGAAAAAAATTGCCGAGACCCGGGAAAATACATAAAAGATCTCGAATATTTGAAAACGAAATCCAATAACGTCTTTAAGTTCATTTCTGCCAGTCGCGATTGTGATATTAATTCGGCCCACAGATTACGTTTCACGCGAACTGGCAGTTTTGGCGGCAAGCGGAATTGTGTCACCAAGGCTCGACTGGAAAATCAAGATCTACTTTCGCTTTCTTTACCACCCAGAAATGTGTCAGTAATAGTCTGATAACGCAACATTTATTGTATGTAACATGCAAGTTCGGCATTACAGACGTTGTGTCGCCATGAAAATAACTTAAATATTTGTCACTGTGCTGTCACTTGTGGGGGCAACAAACAAAAAGTAAAAAGGAAAGAAAGTTATACAAGCGTCTCGTCGGGCTCGCCATTGTGACCGGTCAATGAACCTGCGCGCGTTCTGAGCGTTGCCAAGTACAGGACTCAGGAATGGGGGGGGAAATTGTTGAATTTTTTTTTTAAGACGCACTCGCGGATAGGGGAGGGCTAAACGCATCACCAGAAGACAAAGAAACTGAAATTGGAAACAAAGCTTTAATGTTTAGAATTTTGATTTCTACTACAGCTCTCTGCAAAGTAAAGTGTGCGTTGGTGCAGGCCTTGTGTGAAATCGGGAACCGTCATAACTTGTAAGCGTGTTATGGAACTTAGGGCGCCTAAGTATTTGCGTTTCAATAGATTGGTGACAATAAAATGATTCGTAGATTTTCAGTATCACTGCATCTTGCCCTCCCTACACCTCTCACACTGAATAGGTCTACTTGGGCAATTCTACTCTACTTTGAGTTTGAGCATTAATTTTTGTCTTTCACGTTTATTACTTAGGCCTTAGATATAATGGTATGAATCATGACAGTCGATATTCTGGTTCTAGGATCAAAACAAGATTCATTTTAATATAGTTTATATATACA